GAAGTTACCGAAATGATTAAACAGTATGTCCAAGACGAACTGCGGGCACATTGGCTGAAGGTGACATCACAATTAGATAGTTCTCAACTTTCCGCACAGAAAAGGACATATCCCAAGCTATTAAACAATTCTCAAGGGACTGCTTGGGGTCCGAGCAAGGGGGTTGGATAGCCTATATTCGATGGGAAGCAGAGGCTTCCCCGGAGCATAGTTAAGATGAGCCAAAAAAAGATTATGCCCTTTGTTTCAAGGAATGAACTAGGACAGACCCTGCAATACCGCTGCGCCCCTCCTCGGAATTCCCTGACCCCTTCCCGCCTCATGGGCTTTCGATGGAGGATCTGCAATGGTATGGAGCATAATAATTTCAGAATAAATTCAGGCGAGGGAAGTAGTAGCCTTTACAAGCAGCAGTAAATCCAGCTCTGATTCAAAAGGACAGGGTTGGAAAGTGGGGAAGGAAGGTGACGGACATTTGGGAAGGGGAGTGTGAGGGTAGAGGAGGGAGGGAAGAATTAGCTCTTAGCAACGGTAGCAACAGTAGCAGCAACCTTTTTCCCCTATTTTGCAAAATCCTGTACAGTTAATCCTCTCAGTTGCTTTCTCTGTAAAAAAAGATGTATTCAAGGGACACTGGACCCGGTTTCCAGCAAAAAAAGGAGGATAAAGAATAGGGTTTAAGGTTTTAGGAATAGAAGACACGGCCTGAAGCGACCCACAATGACAAATAGAGTCGGTAGTCACATCTACCTGCAAATCAGTCAGTAAACAAGGCAGCTTAGCGACTCCAGAACTTAAATCTGATCAGGCAGCCGAATAGCTGAGAGGAGTAAGCTAGTCGAGCCTCATTTTACAAGACATGTGCTTCAACCAGAGTTAGCAGAAAACAGCTGATCCGCAATATGCAGAAACTAAGTCAGGCAGGCTAACTTAGGCAGGGGTAAGGGGTGGTACATCCTTCCTTAAAAGGAAGTAATCAATGCCGTCCACTTGGGCCTCCCAACCATAATGGGGAGGAGCGTGCGTGGTAAATTTTGTATCATCCTTGACTTG